GATATTAACTCTCAAGGATAAGGATGACATATTTGTACTGATAGAGGATAAAAGTAGAAAAAAATATTTTTCAAAGATGCTAGTATTTTAAAGTAATATAGATTAAGATTTAGATATATGTGGTTTGTAACACTGAAATTGGAATACAAATAGTTAAGGGGTGGTGGTGACAAATCTGAGGTGGTGGGATGACGGGTGTGATTATGGTTCAATGAAAGGGTAATAGTATGTTTGGTAGGAGTGATGAAAAATAAGAAGAATAAAAAAAGATGAGGGATAAACTTTTCACTCATAGAAGAAGGAAATACTTTCTCTCCTTTTTGTTTGGTATGATGGATGAAAAGTTGGAGAGATAGATTTTCTATTGTTTGGTATCAGATGAAAAACGAAAGGAAAGAAAACACATAAAAGACTAATTTACTATTGTACCCTCACAATAAAATTGTGAGTAAGTTTGAGCATTTCAATTAAATACTGATTTTTGATCAAAAAAAAATTAATTACTGGCAATTCAATAAAAATTCTAAATAACATGGTAGTAGATATTCAAATTAGATTTTAATGTGCCTCAATAATATTGCCCATAAAGAAAAAAAAAAAAACCTATTATGTGTTCACATGGAGAGCACAAGTCCCTTTTCTGCTTTTCAGGAGTTTAGTATTCTCTCTTGCAAAGGACTTCCAATGATGCTCAAACTCTGCATATATATTTATGCGTCAAAGTGTAATGTTTTCAAAATAATTTGAAATACAATAAAATTATATCTGAGTGTGCAACGGAAAAAGTTGCCTTACCGACTGTAAGTTTCAAGGACGAAACTTTTTAGGAAGGTAGATTGTGAGATCCTAGATCTTTAATTTAGGGTTTATATTGTTAATATGAGATGGTGAGGATATTTGAGGCTGAAAATAGTGGTGTAATTTGGTCTTAGATGTATTCTTGTTTGGATTGATTAAACTTGATTTGGGTTAATTAGAAATTAAATAATGATCAGGTAGAGGGATGAACTGGTCAATCGAATGAACAAACTAGGCCAGGATGACAATTGGGTAGCAAGGAGGACCACTTAACTGGTTCATGCAACTTGTTAATTTTCATAGTGGACGTTGTAACTTGTTAAGTAGTCTTTTTAGGTTCAAGACGTTGTCACTTGTTAAGAAGACTACAAATAACATTCAAGGTACATTGCTGTCTAAGCAAGTGGAGTGTATCTTGGGCCAGTAGACTTCCATGGTCCACTCCTGGAAAGAATTATCTGTAATATAGATATGTACACACACATATAATGCGTCTGTATGTGTGTGGGAAAGTACAAAGTTTGAATTACTAATATATAATTTGATAACCGAGAAGTATCCTAATCATAAGCCCTTTTAGGAGTGTGTTTACAACATGAATTTTGAGTGCACACAATCACCCAAAAGATATGCACATTGAACAAATCATTGAAGTTTTTATGAGAGTCAAATTTGGAACCTCTATATCATAATTCCTAAAATCTTTTAACTTGAACCAACATCATGATTTGACTCCATATAGAATACTAGTTATTACTTGTGTCTGAAGGCACAGAGTAATAAAAATACTAAACAATAAATATATTTGTATTCATATTTAAAATCAAATCACAAACATAGAGAAGAGATAAAGAAATTTAAGTACCGATTTGTAGTGGGGGTGAGAGGTAGTGGGCAATAGTGGTTGTGGTAGAAGACGGTGATGGTTGTGGTGGTGGTGGCAGCGGCGGCAATGGTGGTGGTGGCGACGGCGATGGCAACGGTGGTGGGGGTGACGACAGTGACGGTGGGAGCGGGGGCGGTGAAGGTGGTCGTGGTCATGGTGGCGGCGGTGGTGGAGGCAATAGTGGCGGTGGGGACGATGGCAGTGGTGGTGGTGGTGGTGGTGGCGGCGATAATGGTGGCAACGACGATGATGGTGGTGGTAGTAGTGGTGGCGACATCAACGAATGAGGCGATGACGGTGGTGGTGGTGGTGGTTGTGGTGGTGGTAGAGGTAGTGGTCAGACGATTTTAAATACTATTTTTTTTTTAAAGTATTTATGAGAAATAATTTTTAAAAGTACTTTTAAAAAGTCACTCCAAACACACCTTTATAGGCCTATTTTTCTTATTAAATTTAGGGTGTTAATATTAGCTGTTAGATTAAATTTAAAATAAAATTTAAAGCGATCTTAACCGCGAATAACAAAAATAATTTTATTTATCTTTTAAGATTTGAATAGTAAGCTACTTTATTATATAAATGTTATTAGTTTGGACAAGCGCAATTGAACATCATACCAACGTTTTTACCATTATGATGCAATTTTAAACTAATTATTTGAGTTAGAATCATTCTTCTTCTTTTTTTCTCAAATCATCTCGTATATTAATTGAATGAAAGTGCACCAAAAAAAAAAAAACTAGTCTGTCCTTTTTTTTTTCCCTAGAAATGCAAAATTCAAATATGGTCCATCCCATTGATGCAGTTTATTTGACTTGACCTGCTTTAGCCAAAATACAGAGACTTTGACTTGGATCCTTAAAGACTTGGTCAAAAGGGCATGTCTCAGCTCCTTCTGATCGATTCTTTCTAATCATACTGCATGAGCTGAGAGGGAATAGGGGTGAAAGAAATGACTTTTATGAGTCGTCTCATTAGTGACCGATTTTCTTTCATTTTTCTTAGTTAAATGATTAGTGGCTTAGCTTGCCTAAAAGCTACAGTAAAGTAAATAAAAAAAATTTCTTTTAAAAATAAACCATTAATATTAGGTACTGTTTAGGTCCGTATAAGGCTGAGAGAATAAAGGACCTGCAGGAGGCTGAAAAGCCCCAACTTCACATTAGTGGGAGCACCCACTTGACGGTACCTTCAACTATGTTAGTTTGGCAACAAAGAACCTGTCCCTAAAAGCACGTTAATTAGATGAGTTTTTTCCCCTCAGGTTTTCTTAATATTATATTACTACTCGTGAATTGATAACAAAATGATTTGGATTTAATAATTTGACTAAGTCTAGTTAATCATCCTTGATTCTCTTAAGATTATGGAATAAGAGGTCCAGGGGTCAATCCTTACCAGTAGCAAGACTTGATTATTTTATCCTCTTTTGGAGGGGGGGCGTCTATTGTACCATTTTTGGGATTTTATTTAATCTCTTCTAATATTTTCCCTTCTTTAGCGACTACAAATTTATATAGAAAAATTAATAATTGACTTGAATTTCGTTTACTCCATTATGATCTAAACATTAAGTTTCAAGTCACGAAAAAAGAATTTCTATAGAGAGATCATGAATTCCACTTAAATTTCCAAAAACATACTAGTAATAAAACAACTTTGGCAGGAAGGTGTGAAGTCTGAGTCCGATATCAACTTCTAATTAATATTTGGCTAACCAACACAAGTTAATTCAATCATCAAAAAAAGGTTAAGCATAAACGTGTATGCTCCAAGTTGGAGCCCTATTGGCCACATAAAACTTGAGATTAACTAATGAAATATGTTTGTGGGTAATTGTTTGTTACAATCACGAGTCATAAATGGAATATGATTAGAATGATTCACCCTTACCCTCAAGAATTATAATGTTCGGGCATAGTTTAGCTTCATCTGAACACATTTTAGTATAAAACATTTTTTATTTGAAACTTAATCTCATTGATAGAGACCGACTTGAATTCAAAAAGTGTCTCTGTCGTGAATCTTCATTAGTTACAAATAACAAAAATAGCACCATAGGAGAGACATTGATTCTTATTAGTTGTGAGGTAGAGCATAGGGACAAAGAGGGAAACCCTGTCCCAAATTAATCCAGTCCACTAAACTAATTGTTATTGATTGGAGACCCTAGCTGAATAAAATGGACCCTACTTTTATTCATGTTATGTGATCTATAATTGAAAAAAAAAACACTTCAAATGATATGAGTCTCAATTGGATTTGACTCGGCTCCTCTCCAATACTAAATGCTTCAATTCGTTTTAATCCAATTATCCACCCTTCAAGGATTCCTGAAATGCCTTTTCAATTGAATCGTTTTAACTTTTGATATATAGGTGAGGGATTAGATCTAAGGCGTGTAGGAGACATGAAATAAACAATGTAAAAAATAGAAGTTTGATTACTGAGAGGGGAGGATTGACTGTCCTCTCCCTAATTGGCATGTCTCGTTGTTGGACTAATTGGCATGTCTCGTTGTTGGACTAAAGCAGAATTTTTAATTAAAAATTTGAGCCAAAATTAGAGTGGGACCCGATTGTTATTTTGATAATGAATGAAAAAATTCATTTAACGAAATAAATTCGTTTAGTATATTCATTTGCTCAAACCGATCTATTGGATTTGAATTTGCACTAGTTCAAATTTTTCCTTCCCTCCAGTCCAAATTTTGAATAGTGTTTGTTCATAAATGAACAGTTAATCAATGGTTTCTTCTAGGTTGCATGTGTCTATTGGGTTACATCTGTTCGACATGATGATTGTTCGGACCAGTCATCTTCTCTCTATAAATAATTCAATTATATAATCATTTTATATCCAATAAATTTTATAGTCATTATGGCAGTCTCATACATCATTAATAGCCTGTGTTTGAAAGTACATAACACAATTTCTCATTCGTTGGGCAAAGAGATTGGAGTGCTACATCTATTCGCATGAAGATCATTGTATCCTGAAAGACATACGTTTTGATTTTCATAAGCACCGTATGTGGATGCGAAATCTATCTTAAGGATATAATGTCAAATGTTAGTCTTAATCTGCAAAAAGTTCAATAATAGTTCCTGATCTACAAATAGGTCAATTTATATATTGTTTAAATTATTAATTTATTATGTAACTATTTTGTTCATATCTGTAACTGTTTCGTACTCATAACTATTTTGTTCTTCATTATTATTGTTTATTCTAATTATACGATACAAATTAAAATTTTTAATAAGTGATTTTACTATATTTGGAGTATCACAAACAACACTTGTACACTTATTAGCTTCACTTGACAGCTCAAATTGCTTGACTAACATACACCTCAAGTTCTGGAATCAGTCCGTTCAACATGGGATAAAGTTGTCTACTACTTAGGCAAAGAACGATCTTGTCATATATTTGATAATAGATTTACAGTCGTGGTTTCAAAGCATACATGAAATAGACAAACAGTGTGACTAAGAAAATAAACATCCAGAGCTTATTGCTAATGGGATATGCATATAGAACATGAACGCAAATTCTCTGGAAAGTGTCGTGCCTGTAGGGATTGACATTAATATTAAGTGCCGCAACGGCCTGTATTGGCAAATCCTATCCTCCCACCTTCTGTATCATAAAGTACCTCTAGCGCGTGTTGCTGATTATTCCCAATGATGGTCCACTCATTTGTGGGAGCAAAACCTAAGCACACTTGTTTTTTGCTCTGCGTCCATACAGTTCCTGATGGATGTAACGTTACATCAACTCTGCCTCCAAAATGAAACACAATCTTTGGTAGGTTCACCTTCTTATATCTTTCAAGGTTATAGCATGTATCCAACAGGTCAGCCGCTAGAGCAGAAGGATACTTGGACATCGATTTCTTAAAAGCAGACTTCAGTGCTGAATAAGCCGGTGCAGGCAATCGAGTAATGACAGTTCCAGAGTCTATTATAGTTCCCTGTGACCTAAATACAGAAGGGGAAATTTTCAATTTCATTCCGCCAACGCTTATGGCAACGAGTTCGAGGAAGTAAAGAGAACTGTCGGTGCCTTTTAGTAGCGGCGTGAATTTGAATGCGGAGGAGGAAGATTTGGCTTTGTCACCAAATAAAAGATACCCTGTTGAGCTTATAGGACCAGGGAAACAATAAACAAAGGTCTTCCCATACTGTGAAGCAGTTTGAGATAACAGTGAAGTGGGTCCTCTTCCAAGGCCAAGCATTCCAACCTCAACCGCACTGCCAATTCATCACTGTTTATTTTGGCCGCAACCAAATTCGAAGTTAGGGGTCACATCAGAGGGTTCAAGTGTGAGGGTATCACATCCCCATTGTCCTCTAGAGTACGATTTGTCGTTGTAGTAGATGTTATATTCCTTTCCAGAGTTGGATTTGCATGAACCATTTACATAAGTAGAGGACTTGGAGGGATCAAAGCGGAGTTTAGGATTAGAATAGCAGCCTTGGAACATGGTTGGCATTGTAACCAAGTGATGTCACTGCCGGTGTCAATGCTCACCGAATAATCTTGTTGAGGTGTGCCCATTTTAATGGTTACAGTGTAAATGCCGGCTTCTTTGGAGTCAGTTGAAATAGGAAGTGGTGAATTGGATTCTTCTGTCGGATACAGGTTGGATATTCTGTCATTCATAAACTTGATTCTAGCTTCGTCATGAAGTAGAACTTGCTCAGAGCTCGGAATTTCCTTTGCATGGCCAATTGGTGCACAGGGTCCATATTTATATTGACTTTCAACTTTGAAGATCCAACATCTGAGATCCAACCGTAGGATCTGAAATCATGAAAATTATACAATATCCTTATTCAAGATTGAGCCAGAAGGAAGAATTAACAACCCCCCCCCCCCCCAATAGGGTATTTGTGTGTATAATCTGAAATTGCTACTTTATTTCTCCTATACATATTTGTTCTAAAATGATAAAAAGATCATATGCAGTGCACGAGACTTTTGCGTATAACAAGATTTGATTCCAGCAATTTTATCCCCATTTTGAAAAAATTGATTCTTGGGGAGGAATTAGCCTCTCCAAAATGAGAGGTGAGTTTGCCAAGTAGGTCAAATAATACACACACACACACAGAGTTTTGCTGTATGAGTAGAGAGCTGACCTTGGTTATTTGTCGTGCAGTATGGTTTTGGCAGCAGTAGAGTCTACATCAACAAGCTGGTATGAGTTGGTCTCTTTTGCCCTCCATGAACAAGTGCACTATTCAGATACACTGCCAAAAATACAGCAAAATAGGATAAGAGGCTGTGAGCACTAGATGTATGGGTAAGAGCCATGAAATCTCACAGAAACACAGTGAATTAGTTACTCAAGTTGTGACAGAAAAATGTGATCTTCCATGGTGATCTATACTGGAATTTATAGTGCAAGAGTAGGCATCTTTTTAGGCTCAATACAAAGACCAAGACCAAGACGACTACAAATAAAATATGAAAGTCACATCATTGTCTATGGAAGACTAAGTTATAAGTGTGTTTATCTCGACCCAGCGGAGTTCTATCACTTTTGAAATCTTTCTAATCAAATATAATTTGAAACAATTTTGTAACCTCTGTCCTACTTTTGAAAGGCATAGTTTTGGATATGTATGTATGTGTATATGTATGCATTTCATAGTCAATTTCAGATGCATGTAATTAGTAACAAATTGAATAAATCAGGGTTTTTTTTTATGACAGTTGGGACCTCCTGATTGTAATTCTTGAAAATTTTCATCTGGACTACCGTAAGAGGTTGTCTGTCTCACTATAACATGTTGTATTAACTTTTGACAATACATTTGAATATCATACTAGAGGATTTTTACATTATGTTAGAGAAAGAAAAACAGGCAAAATCAACATTCAAGGATTTTTGGGATTTTTCTCTTCTCCTCCCTTACTCAATTTTTTCTCTCCCATTCATTTGTCCATCTTCCTACTCTTCTTCAAATTTCTCTCCTCTCTCATTCACAAAATAGCTACTAACAACGAATTTTAATAGAAAGAAAACTCCTAGTTCACAAAATTTTCAACTAACTAATGAACTTAATATAATAAAACTCTTACTTCACTATCCAAAATTTTCACAAACAGTGAACCACAATTAATAACAAAAATGGTTAATATCAAATTGCACTTTGAAAAGATCGTTCGA